CCCAGATTCGCGCCTGATTCAAAAAGTTTTTGTTTAGTTTTATGCGTTTCGGAATAACCAGTATGTACTGCGTTAGAGCATTGCAAATTTGAAGCCCCACGTTGGGCGCCAATTTGACATTTTAAGTTTTCTTTCATTTAAAGAAAGAAAGAAAACAAAGAAAAACATGTTTATTTAGGTTTACTAAAAATTATAAATTTGAATAGAATTGAAAATAACTTTTAATAATCTAGGACCCAGATAGCACAGTACGTCCTCTAAGGACGTCCATTACATGTCCATTTATCGTCTGTACGTCCAGGACCAATTCTGGACGTTTTAAGTATGTCCAGTTTAGTAAATCCTCGGGACGTCAAGAAATAGATATCCGTAGAATGTCAATTCTACGTGCTTTATTATATTTCCATGGATTCACATTCGCATTGTATTATTATATGGTTATATTATATAAATAACATATAATGAGATAATATAAATAATTATTAAAGATGGCATTGTCCCAATATCCAATTGAATGAAGGCCAAATAGACAAAAAACAAAGAAGGTCATTGCAAGAAAGGGATATTGTTGACAAGTGACATTTTATTTTTATTTATTTAGATTCAAGCACTGAAATATTCTCAGGGATCAGATTTTAATAAAAAAAAAAAATAAAAAAAACATGGTGTTCAATGTTCATGATTCGATGGTATATACATATTATACGAGTACAAGTTCTATCATTCCGCCATTTGACTGTGATTTTTTGCAGTTTGTACTATTTTATCTCTGAGAAAGATGGAAGTTTTCCAGTAAATACTACAAAGCTAGAAGGTTAGTAAATTCATAATATCTATCAGGGCAAACTTAAACAAACAGATTTGATTTTCATATTGATCTGCCTTTCATTTTGAATAAGGGATTAAATTATTTTCAGGTTCAGCTGAGAAGGCAAATATGGCCAATTCGAGAAAAAAACTGAACTGCTGTCAATCCAGGCATGGTTGAAAAGGGCAAAGTAGAGGAGAGACGGGATAAATTTGATGAAAAACTTTTAATAAATATTTGCTTCCTAATAATTTTTTTGAAATTATTCATTATTTTCACTAATTTCCTTAAACATCGTATTTTTCTATTTGAGCTTTTGAAAATGTCCATGAAATGTTCTTAAATGGACGTTCTTAAGACATTCTGATTATTAACAATGGACGCTCCAAAGACGTCTATAAGATGCCCACGTCCTTGAAATGGACGTTGTAAGAATGTCCTGAATGCCCAAGCAGGACGTTTTTGAAACGTCCATAAGACGTATTTGTGCTATCTAGGCCCAGATAGCACACGACATCTGAAAGACGTCTTTTTTGTGTCTTGGTTTGGTCTCAATGTCCTAAGACGTTATTAAGACGACTTATAAGACGTCTTGCAAAAGCCATAATTCAGACGTATTAATGTGAGAGCTCAAAGACGTTCTTAAGACGTTTTAAAGACGTCTTGCCAAATCCATATGTTAATGTGAAAGCTCAAAGACGTCTTACAAACGTCTTTTAGTCGGACGGAAACTTGCACGGTTTACATAATTTAAATTTAACAAGAAGAATCAAATGAAGTGAAGTTTGACGTTTGACTTAACATTACATTCAAGCCGGACTTCCGATTCGGACACCGTCGTGGCAACATTGAAATGGCGGTCTCCGAATCGGGAGCCAAGAAGTCCCATAAAAATCACAAAATATCTAGTATAAAAGTGACCATCCGACTTTAAAAAGTATACAAAATTAAACAAAATATTCAGTGTAATATTTGGAGAAGAATATTGAAATCAAATATCAAGTGCAGTGGAAAAATGAAAAGATTGAGCCCATATAAAACGAAGAAAAGAAGAAGTACATTCAAGCCCAAGCTAAAAATTTGTATGGCCCACGCTCATTGTGGATTATTGATTATTTTATTGCGTACACGATTATAGCCACCAAAAGCGACTTTGGGCTATTTTGAGCATTTGTGTCTCTTTCTACTTAAATAATATGGGACAAAAACCAGAGAGGGAAGAATAGTTCCTGTTACCGATGTAGCACGTTCCTGGAATACAGGTAATAAATAAATATTTGTTTATATACATAGAACATTAATATCCTGTTTCTTTAAAGAATAATTAAATTCATTTAAAAGTAAACAACTTAATATAAGATTTAATTCAGATATTTGTCAATTACCTATTATTTTTGTTTTTGTTTTTATGGAGATTTTGAGAACTATTAATATCAAAAACTCCCTATTAGATAGCCATTTTGAGTGAAGTTAAAGTAAAATTGTTAAAGTAGACGATTAAGCATAATAGCTCATATTGCATTAAATGATTATAAAAATTCTTTGAATTAAAATTCTAAGAAATTAATTTTTTGTTTTGTTTTATAGATAACTGTTTTTTCGGTTTTTACTAACTTTTGCAAAGTATAATTTTCTGTGACTAGAATCAAAGAAAAAATCAATCCAGTTATGGCTAAAGAGGAGTGATCGAATGCGCTACAAAGAAAATAAAACTTAGTGACCTGTGATTAATAGACATTTTATCAATAAATATTTTAATTCTATTTTTTTGCATTATTTATAATCTGCAAGATTGTTCTACTTTTTAATAACCAAGTCCTACTTCTAAAGACGTCTTATTTATGGCTTCACAAGACCATTATAAGCTATTAATAAGTCGTCTTAAAGACGTCTTATTTATGGCTTATTTTAAGCTCTACAGACCAATATAAGCCATTAATAAGACGTCCCCTTTCGTAACATCAGACGTCTTTCAGGAGATACCAGACGTCTTAAAGACGTTTCTAATGTCTTATGCTAGACGTCTTAAAGACGACTTTGTGCTATCTGACATGAGATACTTCATCAAAACATGAGATCTCCTGCTGCCTGACAATCCGAAAAGATCTTTATAAACATGTTAGAGGGGAAAACAGTAATAAACTCTATTGCTCAAAATTCTATCGCGGTCATTTCGGCCCAGGTTTATTGATACATCAGCTTTTGGCTTTTCACCGAAAACTCGCTCCTATGGACCCGTCTGTGTGAGCTCGTAGTCCGCCTGGGAGAAGTTTTATTCCATCCTGCTTCATACGACCCTCTCTGAAATGAAGACACTGTATGACTTTTCCATATGCTGTCGGGGCACTAAAGAGAGTCTGAAACCTAGCCGAGGATTTGGCGATTATTATTCTCACTCACCAACCTCGTTTTATCCCTTTGCAGTTATTCATGGCATTGACTACCCACCGTCAGGAGTATTTAAGAGACTAATCCTGGCCTCCATTTCCAACAAAATGTGGAGAGGGGTTAGATCCAGCATTGGTCTCCATGGCTACAGTCATTGTGGTTGACATTGCCCCAGTCCATAACTGTCCACGCAAGCCGCTGGATTTGAGAAGGATAATCTGGCTTAGTTGATAGTTTTTTCCAATTGGGGGTTCCAGGTTGCGATTTTACGTTTGCGTGTTCAGTTCAAACCGACGCGGTCTTGAAATAAACACGGGAAAGTATTGTAATATTTATTGGTAAACCCATGTTGATTTCGAGGCGCCAGGCAATGAACAACGCACGGATTTGTTTGGAAATGAATGAAGGTACATGTTCACGTTACCGTTTTCATTTCAAAGAGCATCTATTTTGGTACTGAAAATGGAGACGTTACACAAAAAGGACAATACATTCGTAAATGGCCTAATTTTTCTTTATAAAAGTACTCATCACAAAAAGGATCGCTAACTTACGTTTTAGAGCAATGGAACAAAATTGTGTTAAATATTCTAGTAATATAAAAGTGATTTAACTAAATTTTATTTGTATACTTATTTCAACATAAAATAATGACGAAAAAATTGGTAAGTAGTAGGTATAGTGTATACGTATAGGTATAGAAAACATTTTTTAATAGTTTAATACATCTTTCGTAGTAGAAAATTAGTATATAGTAGGTACCTAACATTATTAGATTATACGATATTTTTTGTGACTGGTGTAGATTATTTTTTGTTCTATTATGGAGCATTGTTGACAATATCGCCTCTAACTCAAATCTGCGCTTTATTATCCAATTTGTCTTTGTTTCTAAAGAAAATGCACTAACTAAACAACTACATTGTTCATCGTAAGTTCCGGTATAAAATATAACGCACACGGCACCCTGAAAACATAGTTAACCGAAGAGTGTTCTTCAAACTTTAATATTTCAAAGTGTTTAGTGTGTTTACGAAGGAAACTTTTAAAATCTTCCATGACTTAGCCGGCAAATTAAAAACTACGATAACCTCAAACAAAACGTAAATAAAACAATTTTAATCGGCTGTTGTTACAATCGATCACTTTAAGTAAGCAACCTGTGAGAGTCAGTATACTACCATTTCGTCCTTAAGATCAACACGGATTTGGATGTAAGCAAATATGGCTTGTTTTCAAACAAATCCGTGCGTGGTTCATTGTTTGGCGCTTCGATATTGACACGGGTTTGCCTATAAATATTGCACTTTCCTGTGTTTATTTCAAGACCGGGTCGCTTTGAACTGAACACGGAAAAGTAAAATCGCTTCCAGCTTAGTTTCTTATTTAATATAATCCTCAGATATTTCACCTCCTCCACAAAAACAATAGTTTCCCCGGCCATCTCTGGAGAAAAGGTAAGCGTGAGTGAAAATTAAATTAGGAACAGAAATAAGTGACAAAAATCGTTCTTGAAATTAGAAAAATAATATTTTCATTCTAATATTTACATTGGTATTCTACCAGGTAGAAATTAATACGAAATGATAGAAAAGTGAAGTGAGAAAAATCGGATGAAGTACGACTGAAATATTTAGTTGTCGATTTTTAAGTCAGATGGCAGTATCATACGCGACTTTTACTTTGGAAGTTACATAATCAAATTGCTAAAACGTAAGGCTGATTAAAATATTTTGTTGTTTTTTAAATTAATAACTGAAGATAAAGTTACAAAGCGGAAGATCTTTCGAAATAAAACATCAAATTTAAATACATAATTTATTGTTCTAACAAAACAACTACATATCATGTAGAATACAAAAAAAAAGAGATCGAATAGATTTCTTAAAGTGCTTTGACTTTCAATTGCTTCATTTTTGGCCCCCGTTTCTTCGCCTGTCGTTTCTCCTCCTTCAGTTCCCAACGTCGCTGACGTTCCGGATCCTCTTCGGCCATGACTTTCTCCTTTTCCTGTCGCCGCTTCTCCTCCTTACGGGCCGCCGCCGCTTCTGCGCGGGCGGCGTGCGTGCATTTCAGGAAGATCGCTTCGACCTTCTGACGATTCTTCTCTGCTTTGGTTTTGGCTGAAATAATAAAATATTCGTTGTCAGTCTATTTACAAAAATTGAAGCAACCTTGCAGTGTCATGTAATAATCAAACTTTAATGAATTCAAAAAATATTTTTAAAGGAAAATGGGATAATAAGTATAGCTTCTCATTAAAGAAACAGCAAAAAGAAACTTTTTTATCTGTGTATAAAAGTCATTAAAATAAACAACTTTTTCCAATAATTTTTTCAAAAAAACTCAAAAATCATCGTACATTTTACCAAAATTTTCAGTAGTCATAAACATTATGTTCTGATACCTTATATGTATTACGCACAAGTGAGATTTCATTTTTGATCTAAATTCACAACATTTTAAAAGAAAATTAGATAAGAGGTTTCGCTAAACTATAGAGAATGTTATTTTCTATGAAATGGCACAAAAATCCGAAAATTGATAAAATGTCACATAGGAGCAATGAAAGAAAATTAGATGAATTTATTCCAAAATGTATCCAATAACTTAAATAATGGGTAGAATTTTCGGCGATTTAAAATACAGATATCCCAATGACTAATTAGCTATTACAGTGACATCGTACTGCGACGTATCTCTGCTCGGCTTATTATACAAGGTGAATCCTAAGTTGATACTGTATATAAAAGTCATTAAAATAAACATCTTTTCAAATAACATTTTTTAAAAACTAAAAATAAATAAGATAATTTAAAAATTTAATCCGGGCCTGGATTTGTATATCAAAAATTAAGCTAAATGTTCACGTTTTTATCTTTATACCTTTTTTGTTAGATTTTTATAGTGAATTACGCTTTTACCGGTCAATGTAATTCACATTATTTACAGGACCGATTGGATACATTTTAATCTAAGTATTTTAGTTTTGAGTCTTTCTGTTAAAAGTTGTTAATTTTAATGACTTCTATACAGAGTTAAAAAATAAGGATCAACCTAGTATTCTATGAAGTTTAAAATGCAACTTTGCAATATGACATCCTGTTGCTACTTCACGCTGCTGGGATTATTATATTGTGTAATGAGAGCCATTTTCGACCAGTTCGGTCCTGCTCTAATCTCCCAAGTTCCTCTCTGCCTTACTTGACCTATTTTTATCCGGTACCAAGATTATTCAATAAACTAAAACAACCTTCGAAACCCCGGTAAAACGCCCATGGTCGGCATCGCCAGTCGACGTGAACACTTTAGAATACACTGGAGCCAATAATTCTGGTGGACGTACCGGTACCCTGAAGCAGCGATTTTTAGTTGTTGGATGTCTAGATCCTTCAAAAACAAGTCTAGAGCGCTGTTAAAGTTAGTTTTAGTTAAGATATCATTCTGTTCAGATAAATATTGTAAAAATAAATTAGTATATCAGTAAAAGAGATATAAATTGGTGTTGTATTTGGAACAAATAAATGTTTTTAGTGAAAATAATCTAAACAAATAAATAAACGTTTTACTATATGAAGTTTAAAATCGAATCCACTTGGTTTAGCAAAAGTCTTACCTTCTTTTGACAGTCTGATACGTTTCACCTTGTCCATACAGTAGAATACCATATTCATTAATGGCGTAAGTTTCATACAGGCCTCTTCGAGAGGCATCCCTTTAATGGGCAAATTAAATCCGAACATAATCACCTGAAAACAATAAGATAATGTACCATTTTAAATATTAAACTACTAAGAGTTGATAGATTATTTTAAGTTGCATTGAAAAAAGGGCTTAAGTAGGTACGAAACATTACAATTTTCTGTCCGAAAATTTTAATTTTCCCTTGGGAAAGTTATTTTCTACATATTTTCCGAGCTGGACCAATTTTTTTTACAGCGGATTTATTAGTTTCGGAATAACTAAAAATTCGTGTAAACTACTCATAATTCTTGATAATCTGGTATATAAATTTTTCTCTTATTTCAAACATTTCTCAGGGAAAATGGGGAAAATTTTGGGTCAAATGTTTTTCGAAAAAAAAAAAAAAAAAAATAAAAAAAAAAAAAAAGATTAAAAGAGGAGAGCAAAAAGCAAGGGTTTTTATGACAGGAAGAGAGAGAAATAAAAAACCGAAAAACTTTCGTTTTTCTTTTTGAAATTTATGAAAAATTTAAAATAAAAGCGTTTTTAACATTCCTCTATCAAAAGGCGTCGGAAAATTTAAAATTTTCCTACTGTAAATGGTAATTCACCAAAACTTTGATAGTCACATGTGACATGACACATGACTCACTAGTTAATTACTAAACACCAGATCAACCATGGTTTCCTTTGGTTTTATGCACACATCAAAATAACAAATTTCAGTGCTACAATTTTAGAGTGTAAGCAAAGGCAACCCTAGTTATTGTTAAAAAGGGAGCTGTCAACTTTCATTTGACATCAAATGCATAAATATTAACTAAGATTAAGCACGACTAATTGCGCATTTTGCGAAGGATGCTTCTATTTTGACAAAATTGATGTCAAATGACAGCTGATCGCCTCCTCATTAACAACAACCAGTGTTGACTTTGTTTGCCCTCACTCAAAAATGTACCGGTTTTAACCAAGAGGTGGACCGAAGGCATAGATACGCCCCTTCGAGTCCAAAATCAGCCAATAGAGGCAAAGCCCTCAATTAAATACTTAGGATTTTATCTAGATAGGGGATTAACGTTTCGGCAGCATATTGTTGACAGGGTGACAAAGAAATATGGTATTCTGAGGACTCTTTACCCCCTCATGAATAGGCGCAGCAGAGTTACCCTGTCTAACAAGATATTGCTTTACAAAACAGTATTTAGACCAATACTGACATATGGCTGTCCGGTTTTTTGCTCCATGGCTCAAACTCACCACTATAAGCTACAAAACACGCAAAACATGTCTTAGGCTAGCTCTAGGGGTGCGACCGCTACGCTAGAATACGAGACATGCACGCTACTACAAATATGCCATACATGAAGGATTTCATTACTTCATCAGCTGAAAACTTCTACGCGCGATGCCTCCCCGATGAGTTGAGGGATAGCATCATCAACATACATCGGGAAGACGGCGTACGTAGAAAGCACGGTTGTCTTCATAAATGTTTGAGCATATTGCGACGACAATAATAGGACCATCGACTGTGCATAGCGTACTAAACAGCAAGGACAACCCTGTTTTTTATAAAAGTTTTTCAGGTAATACAGACAGAAGTAAAATCAGACAAAAACTCAACAAAATTCAATTATCGCTCTAGCTAAAGAACCTAAATTGACATATTATGTTTATTTTAACAAGGAGATGCTACTTAAATCACAATAGCAACATAGAATATGGTTACATAAGGCCCATTCATCGGTCATGACTTCGCCAGAGGTCACAACAGAAGCGGAACACTTCCAGTTTTCGCGAGAAGATATCCATCTGTGATAGATTGTAATTTGTATTATATGAATAAAATATTTTGTGTATATGTAAATAAAGACTTTTTGAATACGAATACGTACTAAACAATTCACTCGATGTAGATACTTGCGAGATCTAGTCGGACGGACGACTGAGCGATGGAACTGACTGACAGGGCCACGGCCGAGGGCGATTCCGTCCCCGACTTTGGCAATTTCGGGTGGTTTTATAGGTCAATAGTCGAGGGAATTGTTACAAAAACGAAGACTTTTGAAAGACCAACGTACATTGTTGACAACCGTTTTTTCCTAGCTTTTTCAGGGGACAAACACCAAATTAATCCACGACAAATCTTTAAACTATGACAATTACTGACTACAATAACACCACAACCCCTCAATAATGCCTCTCTGGCAAGGAGTGAGGGCTGCTATGTTTAGCCTAACCTTTATTTCTAGCGACAAGGTGTAAAATAGGTGAAAACTTCACCATAGGCTCGGAAGGAAGCTGCTTACGCCGACTCAAAACTCGACCCGGGAATTGTATTTTGTTTTATATTTATGTTGTACATATTATTATTTTTAACACTGTAAATAAAGTTTCAAATCAATCAATCAAAAATGTACCACCAAAGTTTGATGTTATTTAAACACGCGTTTTCAAAGGTTGCTTCTATTTTGAAGTAACTGGTGTTAAATGACAACTGACAGTCATCTCTAACAATAAACAGGGTTGTCTTTGTTTGTACTCATTCTAACAATGTAGTTTGTAAACCTGAAGTTAGACAATTAATAACCTATATCTTTTGAATTCAGCCTAACTGATCTGTTTCTTCGATTTTTTGGGGTCGAATCTAGGTTTATTATTATAAAAAACCTAAGCGTTAATAAATAACTTACTTTTTCAGTCTCAGGTAATTTCAACGCGCCGCTATCCTCGGTCTGTTTGGCACCAGAATACTGATCCGAAATATGAATATAATCGATATATTCGGGATACTTATTAATAACAGCCGACATTTTATGGTCCAAAATGGCCGACGTGGCCTCCGCGATTTCGCTCATCACATTAAAGGGTCCGGTGATGTTGTAATTTTGGCCCGGCTTACGCTCCGGGCAATAAACAGACAAATCCTCCATGTCCTTGACCAGGTTGACGGCGGTTTTTTTGGCCGCCAGGCAGAATACGAACGAGTCCATGTCTTCTTTGTTCATTCTGATGGTTATGTGAAGCTGGTCCATGGTAGGGCGCATGATGCCTGCCAGAATCGCTAGCAAGTCCTGGCGCTGTAAAAAAACGTTGAATTATCGCTTTATTTCAATACAAACATGGGGTTTACGAATAGATTGAAGTAGAATGCGATTTGCTACTTAAAAAGCTAGGTTTATATGGAGTACAGGCACAAGGTTGTCTCAGTTAGAGGTGTGTCGTTCGCGAACGATTCGTTCAAAAAGAACGAATCAGTGCACTGACTCGAATGAATTGATTCCCTGTTTTTAAAAGATTCGAATCTTTTTTGAGTCAATTGCTCGATGGCTCTGCGATCGATCAAACATGCCGAGTTCCGAGTTTGGTTGCTTCGTTCATTCGATTCGGATTCGAAGATTTGGTATTTTACATCGGCATCTGCAAATTGGTCGCTTTTATTCTACGTTCTACGGCATAATAGGAGAACTCTGACAGGCGGTGGCGGTATGTGTCTTTAATGTTTTTCTCACTTTACAGGAGGTGTGTATTAAGCTTAGGTAAACAATTTATGCGTGTTGTCTGATAAATAAATTTAAATCAAAGTAAAATTAAAACAAAAAATGACGAATCGTGAATATATAATTTTGCGTTAATTTTGGCTATATATTTGGCATTAAAAAAAAATTGTGTTATTGTTGTTTATCTTAACGCACAAGGATGTATTTATTATTCAGCTGCCTTTTTTTATGAAATATGAAACATTAATTCGCTTTACTTTAAAATAAATCTGGTTATAATTATTTTACTCGACGACCTAGTAGGTAGTAGGTAGGTAGGTTAGGTAGTACTCAAATTCGTAAAAGTTCGGTTCGATTTCCTTTGCCGGATCAGCGGAATAACATCGTTCGTGGTTCGCTAAAGTGAATCACTTGAGAACGAATCTTGAAGAACGAATCTTTTTAGGTGAATGAATCAAATGAATTAATTCAGTAAAAAGATTCGAACTTCCCACCTCTAGTCTCAGTACAGATTACAGATGTAGGTAAAACTTTTAGTGTTTTAGGTATATTATACATTTCTATACCCACAACTTCCTAAAAAAAAACACTTGCAAGTTTTTTATCTACATCTGTACTGGGATCTATATTGTCATTGTGAACCCCCATACTTTGGTAACGAGCCACCAGTGAATACAGGTTAGAACATCAATAATTGGCCCTCTTTTAGTTTAAATCAACTTATATGTCCTTGTAAGAATGCAATAGTGCCAATAAAGTATCCAAATGTTTTAATCATTTTCGTTTTCGGATTTAACAAAAAAAAATTAAAATAAAATTTACTACATTTATGAAGACACATCACTGGTTTCTTAGGGTATGATCCGATATAAACCAGCTACTCACCATAACTAACCAGGATTGTTTGACAACGGTCCTTGTTGGTTACACTTGTCTAAGATTACATTTAGACCACGGAGCTTGGGTCGCGTCACTACTGTGACCGATGGACATGCGAGAAACGATTTGAGGATTCGAAAAAGCGTTTTTAAAAAATTATTTATTTTTATTAAGAACAATATTTTATTACTACTACATACGAAGGTTTAATTAAGAGTGATTTTCATTTGTTAACAATAAAAAACAAGCAATTACAAAAGTCCTGATTAAGGTTATTATATATCCCGCAGCAACTGGCTCGGCACTTTTCTCGGAATTGTATCATGTAACTTGCGACTTAAAGGTAACCGTAAAAATATACCAGTTAGTTGACTGACGTAATTAGGTAACAGCATCCATAATTCAACAAGTTTTTCAGGAATATCTAGCAGAGAGGTTAGTTTTGGACCAAGCAACTGATATTTCGGTTAATATTGGACCATACCTTAAAATATCAAAATTCTGTTTAACAAGTGTCAGTCATTTATGAATTGTCACTATCATATTTGTCATGATGACACTGCATTAATGGATGAAACACAAATTTGTTATGGTTGATTGTCTCTTTAGGGTATTTACAGAACCAGATGTTCTGCTTGTGACTTCTGGTGCCCACACGTCAGTCTTTGAGGATACAGAGATGATAGAACATTGACTCATTTACTAGCCAATCAAAACTGAAACACAAAACTCAACCATTGACCACAACCTTATTAGGAATTCCAAACAAAATGGCTGTCGGTGAGAAGATTGGTATTTTTTAAGGGATTGAGACATATAATGTACTCTATCTACAACACTTAACATCATAAATAATGGATTAAATTTAAATACTTTATGTCAAACACAATAAAAATATTATTAAAAAAAGAAAAACCGTTTAGACATTTTTCATTTAACATTTCGAATAAAAATAGCGTCCAAGATGGAAGATTATGTCACAACCCTCTTAGATATATGAGCCCTTCCCACCGGTAGCTATTGTTTGACAGGTCGCTCAAAAGCCTAATAACCCAGTATAATTAATAACACAGTAGCGAAAGCTTGAGTCGGCTCATTTAATGTCGGAGTGGTCAGATTTTTATTGACAGTTGACTTTTTTGCCGCTTATTTTTACACTGAGAAAAGTAACTTAAAAATATCTTGTCCCTTTAAATAAAATATACAATAAATGAAAGATGAAAACTAAGTCTAAATACAATAAAAATGTTTTTAAATGTGCATTACAACCAATCGGATAATCAAAACAATCAACCACCATTAATCCATTGACAATTTACTTATGCCAGTTTGACGTATTTGCCCCTTATTTACGGAAATGCCCAGAATAATATGAAACCAGCATAAACAATGAATTGTCGCAACTGTATTGTTACTTATACTGGGCTAATAATATTAATCGACTTTTTATATTATATTTTAACCATCGAAATATAATGAAGTAGAGATGGCATAAACACTATTTTGTAATAACATTATAAATCTTGCAATTTTAGGTATATAGGTATCATTACTACTTTATATTAAATACAAAAAATATGGTTAAAAATTTTAAGTTGAATACTTAATTATGTAAATAGGATAGAAAAAGTTGTGCTATTTTTCCTTTTATTCCACACTATCTGTCACAGATTGACCAATAGACAGGCGTCTAACGGTGTTTCCGCTCCAATAAACAAACTAGGACCGACATGCTGACCTTGGCAAATTCTAAACTGTATTAAATAATGTTGGAAATACCTGTGCGATCCGTAGGGATGAAAGGATTAGTGCTTGGATGAAAACATAATCTTCTAATTACACACTTTATTTTAAAACACTACTGAAACGATGTTAATTTTATTTCATGCTGCACTTACAAACTACATACTTTTTACACTATGTACAAACCTTTCTTAGGAAATTAGTTACTTAAGCCATTCTTATGGTTTTAAAAATTAATTCATGATGGACGGGAAAATGACCAAGCAGCGAATGACGCTTGTGGCGTAGCTATTAGATGAGAGAAAGTTCTTATCGGCAAAGGCAGTGAGGCAGAGACGTATCCAGGAGTAAAAGGCAATGTTGAATATAATTCAACACTATCGATAAGTATTCAGTTTTCTTTTTAAATGTCATCTTGGTTATGGAAGTTTAACAAATTACACTGTACATAATATTAATTAAAATTTGTATGGGTTATGTACTCCGAAATTTGAATTATTTGTTTTAAAGCCGTATTGTCAAATCATCTGACATGACACAACAAATATGACAGTGGCAGTTCACAACTGACATGGCACCTATTGACAGAATTAATTTTAAGGGTGACGTTTCTGCACTACAAATTGCATAAATGCAGTAATTCTTTTTTGTTAAATCTTGTAATATCATAGGTATTCAGTGATTACTACTTTATTTTATATACTACTGTTCAAAATTGTGACACCACTCAATAGTTTTGGTAATTCTTTGATGTATCTGTAATATATTAAACATAGGCAGTACAAATTGAACCATGGAGTCCTATTCTCTGATGAACCAAGAAAAATATTTATGTAGAAATCATTGTTGATACTGCAATATGAGCTACGTCACAAAAAATTAATTTTAAAGGTGCCTATAAAATGCTATTAAGTACTACATAAGAATTCCATAGATCAAATTGCCAGATATTATAAATATATTTTTGGTATGGAATACTGACACAATACATGGAGCACAACTGGTTGCATACTTCCAAACAATAAAGTGAATTGTTGATATTTTGACATAGCACCTCTTACAGTATCAAAGACGATATATACATTAGAAGCTAAATAACTAATAATTATATATGTAATGACAGTAATTTTCTTAGAGAAAATCTCATTCTAGGACATATGACTATTCGAACATCTATTAGATTTCCTTTAAAAAAATACCTGGATTTGCAGAAATTTATCAACATGTCTAATTTATATTGGTTATTTATAACTTATAACAAGTAGGTAATAGAAAGATTTCTACATGATAATTTGTACCATATAAGCATCTTTTTTATTTTTTGAGAAATATGGAGGTAACAAGCCTTTTAAGAGAAATAAGGTAGATATGTAAAATATTTGTAATGTTTATTAAGGTTTGGGTAAAATTTTAATAACTATACACAAAATTTTTACATCTTTAAGAATAACATTTAATTAAAAGAATTTGTTGAGCAAAAAAAGAAGGAATCCAATTTTTTTGTATTAAAAAAATGATTTTTTAGAGTTTAGTAATTCAATATATTTATTTAGCTGTGATTTGACCTTTAAGGATGCAATAAAAGAACAATGTTGTCATTGGGAGTCCCACAACGCTTAGGAGATTCCCAGATTATTATTTGGCAATAACCCTTACCAATGTTTATGGTTTACAGATTAATTTCATTAATAAGTATTAGATGGCGCTGGAAGTGCTATTCCAGATTATTCGAATATGTTGTTAACGTCGTCAGTAGAGTGATTAGTATCTTGCAAAATATTGTTATGATTTGTGAATCCACAAATTGTTATATTAAAAAAAAAATATGAAATTATAGTACAAAATGTGTACTACCTATATTTTCTTTAAAATTTAATAGTACATGAAGTTGTAATTATTGTACAAATACTATAATTATGGTATGATTGGCAATGCTGGTTGTCAAGTTATGTAATATTTCTTATATAAAAGGACTATATTCGAAACTATTAATATGGCTTTCATAGATTGTACAAATAATTCTTTATTATAACAATCAATCTTATATGAAAAATATATTTTACCAATACATTTATACAAAAGAAAAAAGTGTATTAATTTATACCAATATTCTATTCTAATTTATTTTCAATATATGTCAGACAGTATAATTTGATTTTTTAAGTTTCAATGGGTAATAACCATGCATTAGGGATAGGGTGATCCAAGAATAAAAATTTAGTGACCTGCAACATTGCAATTAGAAGAAACAATTGATTTTCATATAGAAAATCTAAGATATTTATGTCCTAATATATATTAACAAATTGAAATATGATATTAATTGCCTTAGTTCATCAACTGAGTTTACTTTATAATTAAAATTAATTTTTAATTTCTTTATTTTTTAATAATTTAGGTACATCGAAACCAAAATATCGATTTGTAGAACACATCAATTATAAACAAAACAATCCTGTCATCATATCATTAGTCATTTATAACTTATCTACTCAAAAAAATTGTGAAAACTCCTAAATTAAAAAAATGAGAAAAAAAGTATGATATCGAGCTATACGTTTTTTCAATTTTTTGTATAAATTGGCATTTCATATAAATTTTTCCCAAAATACTTTTGGGAGCTGAGATAAGAGCACCAGTAATTAACAGGGCACTAGTAATCAGCAACTCTCCTATTATGACCATGTGTTCAGATTTGTACTCAAAGGACAAAAGGACAAAATTCTAATGTTTCTGACAAACACTGTAAAAATCCTCGAAGGTCACAGTTCTAGTTAAGAGGAAAAAAAATGATGCACGTAAACTTTAAAATAGGTTGTTGCTTTTTAAATAGTAAAGATATGTGAATAAAATTTTATGTAAAGTATATGCTTTTTAAAACACATGTTTCTTATAAAATTTAATTGCTTATTTGGATTCAAACCTAAATCTTAGTTATCTACACTCACTGGGTATGCATACCCATGTTACTCTTCAGTGTTCAACTCCTTAATGCTGTCTATGTAGTGTCAATAACTGGGTAAGTGGGTGAAACTGTCGATAACTGGGGTGGTGGATTACTGGAAATTACATTAACAGTCGATCTTTTCACCTCTGGGTAAAGTTATATGTAGGTTTACTTAACAGATAAACAAACAATAGCCCTATAGTTTAATCAGCAAGTAGTTACTTTCAACTTTACTTCGAGGTAAAAAGACTGGCCCTAAATTATCATAAGATGTTCTACTAGTGTCGATTACTGGTGCTCTTACCTTACTTACTTTTAAACTGTATTTTCAGTAAATAAACAAAAAAAAATGTTACCTTGATTAATTTCAGCTCTACAAGCATTCCTTCACAACAAGACCTTCCACTACACCAAAGTGTAAACACATTCTCACTCTCCTTGACTAGACTGACATTCTCGTTTCTATCTACAATTCCATCATCTCCGACTAAAGAAAAATTATCTTCCAATAATTGCCTGTGAGTATTGAACCAAGTATTCGCTATTCTACTATTCTTACTCTTCCCTGTGGCGAAATTTATGAAATAGACTATTAGACCTGACATCATGAGTATTTCCAGGTAATAACTGTCCCAGTTCTGTCTGAAATTAACAGGGACTTTAGCTATGGTAATCTTCGGTTCTGTTTTTACGGTTTCATCTTTGACTTCAAACCCTTCAAACTCCTCCACATCTTGAAAATGATCGAATTCGGAATCGTCATCGTCTACAACAACGTCTCCATCATCATCCCCTTCTAATAATTTTTCGTCTGACGATTTTTGCGAGGCATAAGCATGATGATTTTGTTCTTCGGATATGACTGGATCGTCTTCGACTTCGAAATCTTCAAATTCAGCGAATTCGTTATCAGACAGGTCTTGGTATTCGTTGGTTAGCCCACTTTGTACAATAAAAAGCAGCACTAACAAATATCTCAGCCACATTTTGAGAAAAAAGTTAAATCTAGTATAAAAGTCTATTTTTCTAATTCGATTTTGACCATGTCACGTAACCTATTTAATCCTTATTTATTCTTTAACTTCTTCTGTTTCTGTTTATTATAGAAATTTAGTGGTCTTGTACTATTGCGGTAGCAAGGGTACCTGATATTTATGCTATACAGGGCACATAAAGGGGTTATGCAAAGTTTACAATTCTCGAAAAATAGTTTGTAATCGAAAACAATAAAAACTTAACTCATTAATGATTGTATTAAATAATTGTAGTCACAAACAAGGTTTCATGCCTTATAGGAAAATAAACGGCTGAATTCCTATGCAGGGTGTCCCAAAATTTCTGTGCATAGAATTCCCACGTATTGTAGAGGTCAAAATAAGTCGATTTGAATAAATTTATGCATGTACCAAAATATATCGTTTGTCCGTGAAAAGAGTTCAAAGTTTACTTAAAAAATCACATTTTTGTACGCTGTTTAGAAATGTGTTAAACAAATTTAATGAAATTTGGCCAAAGTACATTTTAGAGGATTACCCTATGCTTTTAGTTATCAAAGAAACCCAAAGAAAATTGTAAACGAGCTAAAACCCCCTGGTATTTTTCAATATTTTCTTAGGGAATACGGTTCTAAGACTGTTTTAAATAACTCCGAATTTTGCAACGTTTGAAAGGAAAAAAAAAATATTTTCTAAAACACTGATAACCGTTATTAGGCATTCCAACGACCTGTCCAAATGGCTACCAGTGGGTAATGACAGTTTAGATATGGCAACCCTGTTGTCATGTTGTCATTAACAGGGTCAATGATACATATATAGTTATATAGATTGCTCAAAGCTGGTCGTTTACGAGCAGCCATATTGCCTGACAAATATTTATTAATTTGAATCGGTTTAGCAAAAATGTGTTTTAAAACCAATTTTTAGCCTTTAGATATTTAAAAAAAAATAATTGCTTACATTTTTACTTCAAGTCATACGCTTATGTTTATTTTAAAAAATATGGATAATCAATCTATGTAACTATCTATTTCATTGACCTTGTCAAATCACCAGGTCTACAGGGTTGCCATAATTTTGCAATATCATAACCCGTCAAAGCCCACTGGTAGGCATTCAGTTTGGAATGCCCAATTAGCACAATTTTAATTGTATTACAAAATTTAGTTGGCCGTGGACTCAAAAACAAAATAAAAGTCATGATTTTGACAGGAAACATTTTCATAATCGTCCCACGATACACATACTAAGGCGATTTTAAATCAGTTACTAGAAATGTGACCAAGTCAAGTGTGGTCAAGGTTCTTACGTCATTATAATGACGTTCTAATAATCTGATTTAAAAATGTTTGGTTTATATTGACACTAACTTCACAATGGGTATAACATTGGCAGGTATCATGAATTTTTGTTTGTGTGTTATGTAATAGTAGTAGGATTTGTTTTTGAATTTGTAGGGATAAAAAATAAATATTTGTTTTGTTTACTGATCATGGATGAAGAGAAAATTGGTATTATAGTTACTTTGGCCTCTGATTTTTTATCAAAACTTTAGCCATGTTCATTAATAAATCCTACCTTGAAAACAAATTGGCTTTTCATTTGCAGAAACCTTAAATGCGTCCATATCTAGGTACTCAGCCAGGGTTGCCAGACGTCGCGCTTTAGGCGTAATTGTCCCGCTTTTTAACTTGCTGGCACGCGTTACGCCAAAAAACAAAAATGCTCCGCATTTTACCTTATTGCTCTCAGAGTATCTAAGTTATTGCTACGTTTTTTAAATTCAAAATTATATATTTTGATATTTTTGACAATGTTTGACCTGTTTTTTGAGAAGCTCAGAAAAAGGAATCTGATGGTTTAAATAAATATAAGCGGAGGACCTTTTTTTAGATCTCTACAAAAAAAGTAGCTTATTTTATAAAAAATACCTGTTTTTTTAACCTGATACCCTATCGTCACCATTGTCCCACTTTTCCCTTTCGTAAATCTTTCTTTCTATTTTACAAATAACACAACCAAACAATGATTTAATAATTAAAAAGTAAAAGTTTTACATTTGTCATTTCATTTGACATTTCATACCTGTGATGACCACGTTTTTACTGTAGTCATGTTAAACTTGACTATTTCAAGAAAATATTCAATATGACGTCATTGTTTTTGATTTATATCAGTGTAGTCAATCATATTCAAGACATAGTATCTGATTTAAAATCGCCTTAACGGTATGCTGACTTTCGATTCAAAATTCGTCCAAACCGCGCATGCAATGACGTAATGCGGGATGAACTTTCAAGTTATTTTGACGCTTTTCTATTGAGTAGTGTAAAATAATTTATTAATTTATTTGTTTTTGTGTTAGTAGTGACTATATTTTCCTATATATAACGAGGAAGAACTAAATTAATGTTTAAAATGTCGGGCTGCGCGGTCGAGATATTTCCGAATGCCACAAAATATGGGTAAATTCTTATCGAAGAAAGGACAAACTTAATTGAAGTTGCCCTATCCACTTTGAGGAAGGTAGTTGTGAGATTCTTGTTAAACATAGATGCAAGAAAAGGAAATTGAATTCCACCAGGTGCACGGGCCTCATTAAGTAAAGAAAATAAATCGGTATTTTAAAATTTTCGCAGATAAAACAGTAGTTTCCTGTCCCAATACAACGATCCTTTTGAAGTAATGCCATGCAAGAACAGGACACGAACATATATAAGAATAAGATAAATGTACAGAAAAATTGGTTTTGAGTATTTTCAAAGTAACTTGTCAAAAAAATGTTTAAATATACCAAATAAAAAGTAATTTTTTTTCTGTACTTACTTTTTTATAAAAAAATATTTTGTTTCTGCACACTTATTTTTATTTCACATAATAAGAAAATAGATTGCAAAACAACTACCATGTCCAGAAAGTACAAATTTGAGTCCAACTTGTATTTTTAGTCTATATTTTTTACTTATCTTATGGCCAGGTCATGGATTTTGTCACAAAATACCTATTTTTTATGAGAAAAATTAATATTTTTGTTAGTATTATTTACCTTAAACCTTTATATTTATAAACGAATATATTACAAAATAACCAATAAATAAAGCTTAAGTAACTGCATAAAATCTATCTATCTCCCATTTAATGTTATAATTCTGTCCCACGTGACGTCACAGTCAGTCAGCTGCATGCGCAGGAACATACCGTTAGTCTGTGTATCGTGTAATCGTCCTAGTTTATTATGACAGTAAATGTTTCATTAATTTTTGTTCAATTTTTTTTTTCTCACTGACAAACGGTACATTTTGGTATATTTATAAATTGGGACCAATTGACTTATTTTGACCTCTACAAAGTGTCTGTAGTGTTCCAAGCAGACTGGCTCGCCATTACATCTTATCGAGAGTGCGTTGGATATCAGAGAACCAGTTGAGAGTGTGGGAGAATCGCATTCTTAAATAGTCAACGTTAGTCTATTATTTGGTGAGTCTGACTCCCAGGAGATTTACATTAATGTTCTGGGGAGTTGGGTGGCTTTGTTAGTTTGGATGTTTAAATATGATGAAATCGAGTTTTTTTGTGGATTGAGTAAGAAACTCCATCTGCTACATCAGCGACAGTACTGGTTCAGTAGATTTTGGGTTAGAGTACTTAGTTTATAAGGATTTTTAGCTACTGAGAACTGAGAAGTATCATCGGCATACAGAAGACATTTTGACGATAGGTGCTGTTTGGGGGTGAAAACTCGAAGGTGTATATGAGGTGTAGGAGAGGGGCCGAAACGAAACCCTGTGGTACTGTAGACTTCAATAAGTGTTGTAAATGGGTCTGACCTCTATGGGTCTGACAGGACTTTGTCTACTTTTGACTGCGATAGTTCTATCAGTGAGGTATGATGAACGAATGAGAATTGGTCAAAAGCGTTTTAAACATCGAGAAGAACTACTGAAGAGATTTTGAGGAAGTTTACTGTTGTGACCGCAGTATTATATGAAGTGAAGAGATTGCGTTCTAAGTGCAGTGACACCCTGTATATAAATACGGGTGTGATAATATTGATTAAAGTCCCTATCTATATCTAAGTTTTATAAGGCAGATCTTAATGCAAGAGTTTAAAGTAGTACAAATATTTACATAAGTTGCAAATGTAAATACATACAAAATAACACACTGATATTAAATTCTAAAATTTGGCAGTTTTTAACAGCATAAAAGTAGGAGATGGGTAATTGTTAAATGGCTAAATGTTAAATTCTCACAATTTTGAAGTTTATTTAGGAGGAGAGCTGTGCGAAATTATTTCTCAGTTATTTCTCACAGTGTAACTGTCAAAGCATATAAGTTGTGAGAAAAATACAATTTTGTGTCTAGTACATTCAGTTAAAAATCAGCGAAATTTAGTTCTAAAGCTTCACGATTATTTCTAATACAATTTTAAATATTTTTATAGACATTGTCTTAAATTTCAAGAGACACTCTGTAACCAAATTATCGTACAATGTTTTACAGCACAGTCGTCTGGATAGATAGTGTAATAAATCATCGGAACGGGCTTATGTATAGACCGTATCCCAAATATTGGTTCCAGACCTACCCTTTTCATGTATCCAATCAATTTGATAAGCCTTATCTAGCATCCCAGTGAATACAAATCATATGTGTAGGTAGTAATATCATTAAAAAATGGCCCGTGTTTGCGCGCAGCATTAGCACATTTCTTGACAACCCACGGCGGCCCTAGCAAGTATTCGAACCAAGAATTGGCGTATCTACTGAAGGGCACCAAAAGGGTTTATTCATTTAAATACTTTGGACACTAACAGGATAAACTCAGGATAGTGTCCAAGAAAAATATATAAAAGAAAATTGAATAATTAAAAAAATTGTAAAATGCTACCAAGCATGAAACATGTCTGCAAAGACGTAAAGATAATGAAAATGTCTTTTAAATGAGGTATCACATATCCTTACTTTCTATTAGAAAATTTAAAGATAGTAACATCCTATATCTTACGTTTTAAGTAAAGTGTATTTCGTTATAACAAAAATATAATATTTCTCTATTTTCACTTTGTTTTTGTTTCATGTCTCTATTTCCTTCCATGTAGAAGTTAAAAGGATGGGAACAATTTATGTCCTCACTTGGTCCTCACTGATTATATATGTGCTGGAGAATGTGACCTGCTGTCTGAATGATATGTAAACATCTGTTAAAGTTTATCAGGTTCGTAAATTTGAGTAAACGTCCTTGCAACCAGCTTTATTACTTTTAAAATTTTATATAATAGTTGTTTATATTGTAAGGACGAAAGGATTAGTTTTCCGGACGACCACGAATACGACTACGACTTGTTTTTATTAGAATGTGCTTATAGACATTAAAAAATTTAGAAAATTAAATCTGAATTGATTTTATTTCTAATTTTTCTTGTAAACTAAGATGACTGGGATCGATAAGAATATTTAGGTAGGTATATTCTTGATTATAAATAAACAATTACTGTCATTTCCGTGTGCTTATATCAAATCGATTTATTTATTGTTTATTTAGTTTTTTAACCGATTTCAAAAAAGAAGTAGGTTCTCAATTCGTCGGCATATTTTTTTTATGTATGTTCAGCGATAATTCTTTAGCACGGTGTTCGATTTCAATGATTATTTTTTTGTAAGAAAGAAGGTACTTCAGGGGTAGTTCCTTATAAATTTGGCCAAAATCGAATAATTGGGTCCATGAGAAAATCCTCAAACTCTTCATTTTTACTTTCTAGGAATCATTATTTTTTTGACGGATTTTTACGTTTTAAGGTCCCCTGAATCCGTTTTGACTATTTTCGCGATGATGTGTGTGTGTGTGTGTGTGCGCGTGCGTGCGTGCGTGCGTGCGTGTGAGTGCGTGCGTGCGTGCGTGTGTGTGTGTGTGTGTGTGTGTGTGTGTGTGTGTGTGTGTGTGTGTGTGTGTGTGTGTGTGTGTGTGTGTGTGTGTGTGTGTGTGTGTGTGTGTGTGTGTGTGTGTGTGTGTGTGTGTGTGTGTGTGTGTGTGTGTGTGTGTGTGTGTGTGTGTGTGTGTGTGTGTGTGTGTGTGTGTGTGTGTGTGTGTGTGTGTGTGTGTGTGTGTGTGTGTGTGTGTGTGTGTGTGTGTGTGTGTGTGTGTGTGTGTGTGTGTGTGTGTGTGTGTGTGTGTGTGTGTGTGTGTGTGTGTGTGTGTGTGTGTGTGTGTGTGTGTGTGTGTGTGTGTGTGTGTGTGTGTGTGTGTGTGTGTGTGTGTGTGTGTGTGTGTGTGTGTGTGTGTGTGTGTGTGTGTGTGTGTGTGTGTGTGTGTGTGTGTGTGTGTGTGTGTGTGTGTGTGTGTGTGTGTGTGTGTGTGTGTGTGTGTGTGTGTGTGTGTGTGTGTGTGTGTGTGTGTGTGTGTGTGTGTGTGTGTGTGTGTGTGTGTGTGTGTGTGTGTGTGTGTGTGTGTGTGTGTGTGTGTGTGTGTGTGTGTGTGTGTGTGTGTGTGTGTGTGTGTGTGTGTGTGTGTGTGTGTGTGTGTGTGTGTGTGTGTGTGTGTGTGTGTGTGTGTGTGTGTGTGTGTGTGTGTGTGTGTGTGTGTGTGTGTGTGTGTGTGTGTGTGTGTGTGTGTGTGTGTGTGTGTGTGTGTGTGTGTGTGTGTGTGTGTGTGTGTGTGTGTGTGTGTGTGTGTGTGTGTGTGTGTGTGTGTGTGTGTGTGTGTGTGTGTGTGTGTGTGTGTGTGTGTGTGTGTGTGTGTGTGTGTGTGTGTGTGTGTGTGTGTGTGTGTGTGTGTGTGTATCCACCATAACTCATGAACCGATACACAGAAAAACAACTAATTCTAAACTTAAGCTTTATTCCAGCGTCCAATAAATTGATTAGATTTTGGGCAGAGTCGGAACATCTGGGGGGTACTTTATGGGTGGTCATTTTTATATTTTATGGAATATATGTTATTTACGTTTGAAGAAGAAAATTCTTCAAATAAAAGTTACTTCTAATATTATTATCTATAATTTTTGTTCCATACAAAATTTTCCTAAAATGGTCCGTATTCGAGAAATTTGACAAAATGAAAAAAAAAAAATTTTTATAAAAATTGTTTGAATAAAAGTTGTTTTTAATATAATTTTCTATAATTTTTATTCCATACATAATTTCTCTAAAATGGACCGTATTCGAGATATTTGAGTGGTCCAAACAGGTAAAAATCAGATGGGACGAGGTCGGGACTATAGGCAGGATGAAGTAAGACCTCCCAACCCAATTCTTGAAGCTGATCACGGGTCAGCTGGGCTGTATGAGGGCGGGCGTTATCGTGCTGAAGAATGACTCCTTTTGACAAGAGTCCACGGTGTTTGCTCCTGATAGCTGGTCTAACTTTGTGTTCTAGCATCTTAGAGTAGTATTGGCTATTGATAGTTCGCTGATCTTCAAGTAAATCGCAATAGACTGGACCCTGTGAGTCCCAAAAGATGGTTAGCATCACTTTACCGGCGGAAGGTTGAGCCTTGAATTTTTTGCGAACTGGAGAGTTAGTGTGTTTCCACTACATACTCTGCCTTTTGGTCTCAGGGTCGTAGTGATGGACCCAGACCTCTTCGCTGGTCACTATTCTTTCAAAAAAAGCGTCTCCTTCATTCAAAGTTCGTTGCTTTAAGTCTTGACTAATGGAAAGCCTTGATTCTTTATGAGCGTCAGTAAGTTGTCTGGGAACCCATTTGGCACACTTTTTTCTGTACTTTAAATTGTTCTGAATGACATTGTAAACAGTTCCAACACTTACTTGAACTTCCTCAGCTATCATTTCAACAGTAATTCTTCTGTTATCACGAATAAGTCCGTCAATCCTCGATTCCAGCGAGGGACCAGAAACTTCCACTGGACGTCCACATTGAGGTTCATCACCTACACTTGTTCGGCCACTTTCAAACCGATTAACCTATTTATAAAAATTCGCACGATTCATAGAACTTTTACCGTACTGTATCAATATTCTAGAAAAAATTTCACTTGGTTTTACACCTTCTGCGACTAAAAATCTAATGACTGAGCGCTGCTCTTCTAAGGTGCAATCTTTTAGTGAACTTGCCATGGCGAATTGAAAATTTTGAGGTTATGTTGACATAAAATGATGAAACAGGTGATCAGAGCATATCCCCAGGTTGCCAACTAACACCCCTGAAAAGATTATACACATTCATTGAATAGTTTTAAAATTATAGAATTTGGGGTCTATTCTGTAAAAATTCCTTTATATTTAACGGCCTTTAAAAATATTGGCGGCCTTTAAAAGTATATTTGTATTCGTTAATTTACTTCTGTCATTATTTAAACAGATTTCTTTAAGATAGTACTCTAATGTATTTTAAAGATCCGTTTAAATAATGACAGAAGTAAAGAAGAAAATATTTTTAAAGGCCGTTAAATATAAAGGAATTGTTACAGAATAGACCCCTTGTCTCTTTACTTATTGAATGACCCTCGTATATATAGTGCATTAAGTACTGTCAATCATTACAAACAACTATTTCGTTATAACTGAATAATTTTTTATCTCTCCTGAAACATTTATAAAAGTTGAACGGTCTCATTCTTGCACTAATGTCTTCCATTGCTTTTAAAATTGTTTTGTAGCCTTATTGTGACATCGTCGCGTGAGCCCATGATCAACCCCAAATCAGGTCATCGGATGAGAACGTGCAGGGGCGGCTTCAAAGCGCACGCGCGGGCTCTGCACCCCATCCAGACTCCGAATTATGGATAGATATCATCCCAGAGTTGATCGAGTAAACTTATATCGACTAAAATTGGTGCTAACAAATTTTTATAACGAAAAATAATTTAACATTAAATAAACATACACAACTATATCCTATTATCTAAATAAAACAGACTAAAAACCTAACTATAAGATATACAACTGAGATAACTAAATTTTTATTATAATATAAAAGAGCTGATCAGATATACATAAAAGAAAGATCAATAAAAAAAACGGAATAAAAAATTTTAAATTTGAGATTTAGTAATGATTGTTTAAAAAAGCTGAAAAAAATTGTGCTGCAATGGACATGTAAGTTTTGAATGTTATTAGAGAAGCATTAAATTAGGTGCCTATAAAAAATTAGTACAGAACGATTTTCTAGACTTAGATATACATTATTATATATAAATGTTACATATTGCACTGAATTTAACGAATGTTTTGAGAATATTTAGTATTTGTGGGGCCAATATCGAATAGTGTGACTATTTGTGAATATTTAATAATAACGATATACCTAATTAGTCGTGATCCCAATTTGTATATAATTTAATCTCTCTCTAAGAGACCTTCTAAATAACGTCATTTCTTAAGGTGAGTACATAAATATTGCTTTAATTATGTTTTAATATCTTTTCTCTTTCTCAATACAACACAATAATCAATCAGATAATTTACTTTTTCTTACAACTGTTTCATAATACACTCATTATTGCATGATTTTTAAAATAGTCACTTAAAACACTGTTTTTAACCAGTCACAAAATATAATTTTTAATGCTTACTCCTCAAATATAGAATCACTTAATAAATTATTATGTAGCCAACAGTTGTAGAAAAAGAATAGTAATGGCTATTGCCTATACTCTCTACATTTTAATTTAATACTATACTAAATGTACTTTAATTTTTTAATTACTGCATCCACAAATAGCTTGTGGTTGGCAGATGTAGGTATACCTTTTTTAAGAACCCTTAATGTAGAATTTTATATACAGTGTGGAAACCACTTATGGAATAAAATTCTTTATGTCATTATTTTAGAAAATTATAAAAAATGCCGAGACATGTCAACTTTTGAATTGAGTTGTGCGTTATTTAAACATAAATTTAAATGTACAGGGTGATTCACGCAATTATGCCATAGTCGGTGTTGTTTTTTTTTGCATACATTATTCAGTTTGTTGGAATCGGTTCATTAAGAGGATTTCAAAAATATGCAAATATACAGGGTGTTTCATTAAAAAAAAACAACACCGACTATGGCATACTTGCGTGAATCACCCTGTACATTTAAATTTATGTTTACATAACGCACAACTCAATTCAAAAGTTGACGTGTCTCGGCATTTTTTACAATTTTCTAAAATAATGACAAAGAATTTTATTCCATAAGTGGTTTCCACACTGTATATTTTTGTATCATAAATAGAACAAATTACACATTCACTTACGATGTGTACAATAGATAAAATCTATGAAATAATTTAATTAGGCAATTTCCGAAAGAACCTTGCTTGGTTACCTAAAGAAACCTACTTGAAATAGAATTACATAATGAGTATTCATCACTAATTTAGTGATATTTTTAGAAAATTTGGTCGCTTTTCTATTGAATCCTGAATTGTTCCCAAGTAATAACCCACATTCATGGACTTTTTGGGACTTTTTCCTACTGTGCTACTTTACAACCAGATTGCTCTTAGAAATATTACATATAGTCATTACCAGAAGGTATTTAACATCTAACGAATCTTCAACAATACCAGTGCCTATTTTTGGTTCTATTGAGCCCTATGCTCTTATACCTCGTAAGATTGATTAAGAAGCATAAGAAGCCAAAATAAAACAAAAAAAAAAACAATAACAATAATAGTCCAGTGCATTTTTTTTATACTTATTTTCGCAGTCATTGTATGTTCGGATGGTGACACAAAACGACAATTTGTGATTCTGGCTAAAATTTTTGGATGCTGTCACTAGATAAAAAAAAGACCATTCCACTTATTTTCCCAGTCATAAATATTTGACATTTATTAAAGTGACTCATTTTATTAATGGAAATAACAGTCTGGCATATCCTAACCGGAGGAAAGTCAGTCTGGTTAAAAATTTGCTGAGCCAAAAATTTGACCGATTTTTGAAATCCGTAACCCTTATTTTCCCATGCTTGAAATTTAACGTGATACTATCATAAACTATAATCAAAAGTAAGTCTGGCTGATTTGCAAAATTGCTAAATGAGTCTGGCGGCATCTTGAAAATTGTCGAAATTACAGAATTATTGCTCTTATTTTCCCGGATTTAAAAATTTGTCACATGATAAATAATACCATAATTTCATAAAAAAAAATACACGTCTGCCAGACTCACAAGTAAGAGAGTTGAATGAGGAGAGGAAGAGGCAGGTGCGTATTTAGCTAACAACGCTGGAATGCGGGTACCTGTGAACAGCTGCCTGGGCTCTGGTCCCTTATATTCCTATCTTTCTCAATTACCACGTGACTATATACAGTATAAGCACTTTTCTATGAGTCATTGTCGAAGGACAACTGTACCAGCCCTCACAGCATCAAGCGACAGCATCAGTGTTAGGTTTACTAGTACATTTGTATTACATTCAGTACATTTTAACCATTTATAAATGCTACTACCACAAAAGATAAAAGTGTCTTAATCTAGTACATTTTAAATATTTTGTTGGATATTCTTGAATAATGCATTCCATGATTTCTAATTTCAATGCTAGATTGTAGACACTTCTGACACTCCCAATGCGATACTTTATACCAGAGATAAGGGACTATGATTCTTCATATAAAGTACATAAATATAAGATACGCGCATAAGAAGCACATGCTTAACAACGACCAACTCGAACGCAGTTAACATCTGACCCACTATATGTCGCTATCATCGAAATCAAACAAATAACGCAGCGGCAAATTTAAAAACCTGATAAATATCGATTGTACTTTCATGTTCTGGTAAATAAATTTAAACATTATTAATTACGGTAAATTATTTAGGTATTAAAAAGAATACTACACTTACAGTCTATTATCGATTAAGTATTGTAAATCTATTGACATAACAAATATTTTTTGCTTCTTAATCTTGTTTGTATATTCTCACAGATAGTCGCACCTGAATATAAGAAATTTTCTTTTAGTTTCACTATGTCTCACAAATTAAACGAGAGATCTTTTTTGTAGAGAATTAAATTCCCTACAACAAATATTCTTAGTCGTTCTCTCGTATCTTGTATAGCTTCGAAGATATTCGCGTTTAAATGGAAACAATTTTCGCCATATTTTTATTGCTATAACTCAAAAACTAAGGGAGATATAAAAGATTGTTAAGAAATCGATTTTGCAGGGAAATAAATTTTCAACTTTACAACTTTTTCGTATCTCTGACAGTTAAAAAGTTACTCGCGAATAATGTTTTTTGATGACTGACGGATGAACTGACGGACAGAGATTTTAATAAAAATATGTTTTTTGGATTCCTGGGATCTCAAAACGTTGAGTAAAGTGTTTTTGACCATATTGAAATTACGCCCTTAACCAATACTTTTTTATCATAAATTATAAAAAGTAATAACATGTAGAGATGACAACAATCACTGCATAATTGAACATGTCGAAATTAGCGAGCCTGACGAGCGTTGGATAAGTCTGGCAAGGCGTTGGGGGTGTTCCACGTTAGCCAGACTATATTTGCAGCTGTAATTATAAGATAAACTATCATCTGACAAACTTTTAGGACTGCGAAAATAAGGTCAATGACTTTGATAATTTTTTAAAATTTTTCACCTTCCAAACATATTACCCATACTCACATATTAGCCAGACTATTTTTTTTACTTAACTTCACTATATCTCTCACTAATAGAATGATTTTTATAACTGGAAAAAAAGTGCAGTATATTTGTACTTTTAAACGAACTTTCCGCCTCAACCTATTGGAATCCCCCCCCCCCCCTACATATATATGAATTTAGCTTAGAATAACGAACCGAATAATTCTATCGGTGTTTCCTAACTGGGAAAATAAGTACCAAAAAAACTTCACTGTCTCCTGGACTATAAGTAGTACCTACTACCCAAAAATTAACATTTATATTATTTTATCAACATAAAATAGATATAACACAAAATAAAATAATAGAAATAACATAGAACACAAATAATAAAATATTAAAATGCGGTCGTTAGAGAGAAAAAATTACAAACCAACATTCCTACTAGCCTAAATTTTTCTTTAGCGTATTTTTAATTTCGCAAATTGGTTCATATTTCATTAGAATTTATGTCTTCTTTATTTTCCACGTTAAGAAGGGCCAAAAATAATACGTTGTCTTGCTTCAACGAGTTACTTATTGGCAATAACAAATATCCGAGGCGAATATAAACTCCTGGACAAAATTTGCCACATTTTTGAAGCTATTCTTTTTTGAACTTATGATCTAATTTGAATGATTTTTTTTGCATTATAGGTTGGTTCCTTGAAAATGTCATAATTTTCGCATGTTTATGATAAAAAGTTCCGTTTCGATTTATGCCGGGTGTAATAAAAATATAATGTTTTTTATTGCAAATTCGTATCACCCTGTGGAGTATACTAGTAACCGAAACATATAGCAGTTGACATTAGACTGTAGGTTAGTACTCCTATTTCTATTATTTACAATATTTCCCTTGATTCAGGAGTATTTCCGGATTTTTGGTAATACAGTTTTATAAGACCAATTTATAAATCGGTATGTAATCGTGACATTAAAAATTACAGAGAAATATGTTTGCAATCTAACATTCCAAAAATTTTCGATTCACTCATTACAGAATATTTGTCATGGGAATGTAAAGGGCTAATAATTGATCAACAACATGGTTTTTCACAAGGAAAATCTACAGTAACTGCCTTGTTAAGTTATCAAAATGAAATATTGAGTGCTTTTGAAGGGGGGTATCAAGTACATTCTGTCTATACTGACTTCTCAGAAGCATTCGATAGAGTTAACCATGAATTGTTGATCGCCAAGTTAAGCTCAATGGTAAACTTTTAAATTGGCTATCTAGTTTTTTAATTGGTAGGTATCAGTGGGTCAAAATTGGGAATCACATTTCTTTTTTGATTGAAGTATTGTCTGGTGTTCCTCAAGGATCCCATTGTGGTCCGCTTCTTTTTAATCTATCTGTAAATGACATTGCATGTTGTATAAAAAAGTCTCAGTTCCTACTATTTGCAGATGATTTAAGAATCTTTAAAATTGTTGAAAGTATATCTGATTGTTTTGATTTACAGACTGATATTAACAACCTACAATGCTAGGTTGTAATGTAAATTGTATGAATTTGAATTTAAGTAAATGTTTTTATATTAAGTTTAATAGGTGCCATACTATTATAGACTATACTTATTGTATCAATTCATTAGATTTTGAATTGGTGACCCAAATAAAGGACCTTGGCGTAATGTTTGATGAAAAACTTACTTTTTCAGAACACATTACAATGATATCATTAAAAGCCAGAAAGTTGTTGGGTTATATACAAAGAAACTCTAATGGTCTCTCAATAAATTCTTTT